TTCTAATCCTACAAAATTCATGTCCTTCTCATAAAGCAAAATACATTCATCCTTCCCAGTAGCCTCAAAGATCTTAATTCATTCTATCATCAGTTCAAAAGGCAAGCATTATCTATATATCATTGAAATAGATATGGGAGAGAATCAAGGTACTATAATGTACTATTCATTTTAAGCTGAAGCAAATTTCTCGCCAGATGTGAGCATGTAAACCCAAAAAAGATATATGCTTCTGAAATACAATGATAGGACAGGCACAAGGTAGATATTCCCATTTCAAGAAGGAGAAACAAGATAAAATAAATGAGTGATGCATCTTGAACAAATCTAAATCTCAATAATTATTTTTCCTTGATCTTCTGCCTTCCATCCCTATAGGAATTATAGTCCTGCCTCTGGGATCATTGAGATGAAGGACACATTGGGATGAAGACATATGTATTTGGACTACAACAGAAGGTATATTATTTGTAGTGTAATATACTCATTAGAATATAGTGTCTGACCAAGAGGAAAGGGTGGTTGTGGTGGTTATGCATGGAGGCACAAGATAAAGACTGTGATAAAAGGAAGATGAGATGTTAGGAAAAGACAGCAGGTAATTCCTGAACTTTCCCCAAAATGTCAAGTCATTGACTTATATGAGGTAGATGCCTACCAAGGAAACAATAACATGCATTATTTCTACTAACCTCTATAAGATCCCTTTAGACATGGGAACATAGAATATATGCTTTAATAGAGACCAAGAAGTGAACTCAATCATGGGCTTATCAGACAGTGAGTTCTGAAACATAATACAGTCTCTATTATTAAAGGAATAAAAGTAAAATTTCTGTATAAATTGTATTTTACGAGGGATAATGGGTGGGGTTTTTAGTATCTAGATAACATCATCTCCAGTGAGAAGGCTTAGGTTGGGGTGACATTGTCGGAGGTGATGTTCTTTCCAAGTAATGAGACCTGAGACCAAAGTAATCTGAGGTGGGGGGACTGGAATATCCTTTTCAAGTGGGTACTTCTTGAGTCATTATGGACCTTCAAATTGTAAACCAGTGAAAACACTCAATCCAGTAGTAATAAACCAACAGTCAACAGAAGGGAGTACTTCTGTACTTCAAAGTGTTTTTGTTTTTGTTGAAAATTTAGATTCAAATGGGATCCAGATCAGATGAACAACTGTCTGGACTATAGGACCATCTGTGGTTAATCAGTTCCATAAGAGTATGCATCTTCAAACTGGCTTCCAACACATGGGATACAGGTAGGATTGAAAATTTTTTAAAATAGGTTAAGGCCTAGGGCAAGATAGAGCTCTTAGGGGGGTTATTTGTTATACTAGAATTTGAAAAAGATATATTTTAAAAGAAATATCTTCTGATTAAACCAGTTATCTGGGACCTATCAGTGACTCAGAAATTCTAATGAGTGCCTCTTCCCAGCCTCTTATATATTAAGAACTTAAATATGTGACTTGGGTTATTTCCAATATTCTAAGTAATCTGTGAAGGAAAATGAGATATATCCTAGCAAGATTTTTTTTATTTTGGCCTTTTATTTGTGGAGATGTGTGATTGTGATTTTTATTTTGTATATAAATGACATAAGAGAAGCTTTTACACCAACAGGGATAGCATTTAGGCAACTTTTAAGCAATACCTCAAAGTAAACAATGATCTAAAGATGGGATATTGGTCAAGGAAGCCAGTGCTAAGATACTGGTTGGAAATTTGTCCAAGTTTGTTGTTTCTTGGATTTTGTCGTTTATTAGGGATATTTGGACTAAAGAATGCAAAGCAACAGCATGCCACTGATGTAAATCATAAGTAAAATTTGTAAATGAGAAGTATGTTGTCATAAGAACACTCATAGTTGTGTGAAATTAATGTCCTTAGAAGGAGAATTTTATTAATATAATGTCACAACTGTGCTCCTGAAGAAATATCTTTTCCTTAAAGGTGTGTGTGATGAAAAGCTGTTGAGGTACCCCATGGGTCACCTGGAGAAGATGAATTGTGTCTCTTTAGAAATCTCAGGCAAACTGTGTCTAAGAGCATTGAAAAAGAACTGAACAGAATGGGTTAGCCAGTATATAAGACAAAAGTTATTGTGGTTTTAGTGAGTAGAATCAGGAATCTTCATAACACTGGATATTGAATATGAAATCTTAATGCATGGGGCCACAGCATTAAGTTCATGGTACATCACTAAAGCCTACTTAATTTTCCCCAGAGTTAGGAACAGCAAAACTGGGCTGTCAGAAAAGCAGCAGGGATAATCCCCTTTCACATAACAAATTTTAATCCTTGCAGGGACAGTTTTAACTTACATTGGGTCATATTAATTATTTCAAATGGAGGCTCATGGGGTTTCATTGTTTAAACCAGTTTATAAGTGTCAAAAACTTCTGTGTGAGAAGAGATGGGAGGGGAGGGAAGGGGAAGCGAGGAAAGGAAGAACAGCAGAATAAAATAGACATTATTATTACTGTATTACATATGTGACTGCATGACCGATGTGATTCTGCAACCTGTACACTCAGAAAAATGAGAAATTATACTCCATCTGATTCAAATGTATGATATGTCAAGATCATTGTACTAATTAAAACAAACAAACAAAAACCTCTCTATGGGCTGGGGTCGTGGCTCAGCAGTAGGGTGCTCACCTAGCATGTGTGAGGCCCTGGGTTCAATCCTCAGCACCACGTAAAACTAAATAAATGAAATAAAGGTATTGTATCCAACTACAACTAAAAAATAAATATTTTTAAAAAACTGCTTTGAACAGGGAGCGGTGATGCACATCTATAATCCCAACAACTGGGGAGGCTGAGACAGGAGGATTATGAGTCCAAAACCTGTCTCTGCAATGGCAAGGTGCTAAGCAACTAGTGAAACTGTCTCTAAATAAGATACCAAAAAAAAAAAAGGCTAGGAATGTGGCTTAGTGGCTGAGTGCCTGAGTTCAATCCCTGATACCCCCTTACCCTCTATGTCCCTCTCAAAAAACCCTGCTTTGATAATAATTCATTATTTAATTATTTATTACACTAGAGCATCTATGACATATTTGGAATATTTAAAGAAAAAGGGTACTATGACTATTGAAAATTTAGGAAAGGTCATAGTCAAAGGGAGGCATACTTACTTAGTTATTCTTTTCAGGCTACAAGAGACTCAATATTTAAGTTTGGTGAAATGCCCGTGTGTAGCTGTAATTCATGTTCCAATATCGGTTAAATCCACAAAGTTTTTTAATTTACATTTTAGCAAATGTTAATTACAGAATCACAAAAGCCAACCAGTGGTCTTTTAAATCTTTTGTATATAAAATCTTTACTATATAAACTTAATGTATATTTTTTATTTCCAATAGGAACAAATTATGAAACTGCTTTAATTATCATATATATAAGTATATATATCAGACATGCACCCAATTTCTTTAATGAATTACACTAATATTGTATATGTATACTTAATTTATTTAATTATCTTCTATTTTCTCCCCATGTTTCTAGGGGAGACGTTTATGTTTTGTGTTAATTAACAAATAAAAATTATGTATGCTTATGGTATGCAACATGGTAATAAACATACACATTATAGAATGTCTAAATCAAGAAAACAAATACACTACCTCTAATACTCATTCTTCTTCTGTGGTAAGAAAATTTAAAATCTACTTTTCAAGTATATAATACATTGTGATTAACTTGAATCACCATTTTGTACAGTAGATCTTTGTACATTGATCTACTTGTAAATTTGTAAACTTTGTGGATACAAATTAAAAACTTGGTTTTTATTTCATTTTTGAATCTAATTAAGCTTTTTAAGATGATTATTTTTAATTCTTTTCATGCAATTAAGAGTTCTCCATATATTGAGGCCAGTGGCTGGATTTTTATTAGTTTCTTTGATGGTATTACATTTGCCTGATTCTTCATTATGTATGTGACCTTAAATTGGTGTCTTTCCATTTGAAGGAATAACACTTCTTCGTGTTTACAGATGTTCTAAGCAGGATAAGACCTTCTCCTGTTAGGTTCCCAAGCTGATGATATTTTTTCTTGGATTGATGTCAAGTGCACTGCAGCCGACTCATGTTGCTGCTCCTGATTCTACTGCCAGGTCTGCGTGTAAGGGCTCTTTATCATGGGGTTTTGGTAGGTGTGGATCCTTGTCTAGTCCTTCAGTGAACTGAACTTTCTCCAAGACCTTAGTTTGAAGGGCTGACACTGGATTACATTTTGCTTCAGGGTTTGCAGATGGCAGTCCTAATATCAGGTGCATGGACAAGTACCCCTTTCATTAGGTTCCTGGGAAGTATCCTGTTGGATCCCTGGGTGGGTCCCTGGGATGCCAGTTCTATAACAGTGGATAGCTGTGATTGACTGAAACTTAGTCACAGGAATGCTTCAAGGTCTACTACAAAGACCTTTTTCAGAGCCATGGCTAAGTTATTCAGTGCTAAAAACTACATTTTCTTCATTCCATTTCACCATTTGTGGAATCAGTAATAATCATGTCTAATCCTATTGATCGGCTTCATCCATTAGAAAAGAAATACAAAGGCTGCCTATGCACAATTTACACAAAATTATTCATTAGACACATTTGATTATAGAAATAATATGAAAAGTTGGCATAATTATAAAATACTAATTGTTTATGCTGTGCTTGTTTTTCTCCACATGGTTTAACTATATAACAATTTTTGAAATTTTGTGCCTGTTAATTCAAAAAATGTTCAAACTTAAAAAGACTCAACAAAAGTATGCGAATCACTGTTTCTCCCTATTTTTTTTTTAAATCTGTGGGAAGTGTGTCTCAATTTCCTTTGGTTGTTTCATGTCCTATACTGAAGAAAACAAGAATATGATACGAAACCTCAGCTCTTTCAATGACTTCCCTTTTTGGCTCGACTCCACCTCCATTCTGTAGCCTTTCTATTTATGTGGGTTAGGTGATGTTTAAAAATTCTTATCAGTCTGCTTCTTGAGGGTAACATTTCTATGGGACAATAAAAGAAGACTTAGGAATAACTGAAATCATAAAATTCGCAATGGTGATTTTTGAAGACTCTGGATCTGCTGGTAAAGTGTCTTATTTACCCTGCATTTATCATTTAATGAAGTTGAGAATTATTTTGACAGTCAATGTATATAGTTATCATCAGAAGAGTAAGGAATAAAAGAGGGAATTTAGATTCTATGGCAGTATGTTTGACCTGAGATTCAAAAGCAATGATGTGATAAAGGGACAAGAGTTGGTGAACTTCTCAGGAAATGAACCAGTATTCAAACTGAGAAGATACTTGTTAGAAAAAGTAAAATATGTAGGCATGAATATTGATTTCTTAGAGGAAATATGAATGTGTAGGCTAGAATATATAGGCAAGAATAATGATTTCTTAGAGGAAATTTAGAACAACAACTTTTTGGAAATCTACTTCATGATTTGCATGGACATGTTAAAATCATTTAGCATTTTTATTTCAAGCTAGTGCTGGGTTAGAATAAAAATAGAAATGAGGTTGATAACAATGCTAAACAGAATTTTATATGCTATATTAGAAATGATAAGATCCAATATTTGGGTTTTTCAGATAAAAATCCTGATTTTTTTTCATCAATGTGTTTATTGTTTAGCTACTATTTGGAAGCTACTGTTCCAAGTATTGTTGAAACTAAGGTGGACATGGTAGATATAATCCATTCCCTCATGGAACTTACCATCTAACAGTGTAGATCAGGTAGACATGGAAATGGGGTGTCAGTGATTAAATATTGAAGAGGTAAAGGAATTATCTCAGTAAACCTGTCCACTTTCAGGGAAAAGTATCCACTTCTATATTTCATTGGTTCCTTTTTCAATTTCCAAAGATTTTAAATCTGCCTTTTTATTTTTTCCACTCAACTTTCTGCTAATTTCTTACCCTAAGGCATGAGTAGGAATATTTTCAAAGCTATCTCACTGAGACCATATGATCCTGAGAATGAAGTTTTCCTGCTGTCTTCCATTTTCTTTCTTGTTTTGGCCTTCTTTGTTAATCCCAAACCTTAGAACCATCTGTCTTCTCCAATGTCTCTTGTGAAAACTGTACTTTCTCCCTATTTCTTTCACAGATTTTAGAAGATGGCTTGTCCATTTGAGTTCCATCACAATTGCTGTGGTCTCACTTCTCAGTGCCTTTTTCATCCCTACCTCTGTTGGTGAGTACTTTGCCAAAAAATATTTTGTGGGGGATAATGGAGAATTTAACTGAGTGGCACTTTACCACTGAGCTACATACTTGGCCTTTTGTATTTTGTTTTATTTTCTATTTTGAGACAGGGCCTCACCAAATTGCTGAGACTGGCTTTGAACTTTAGATCCTATTGCCTCTGCCTTCAGAGTCACTGGGATTACAGGAATACTTTATCAAATTTATTAATAGACTTATTCCTCTCAGGCAAGAATTATTTTTAAAAATATTTTAGATGCCAAGTGGTGTCTAAAAACTCTGCTCAAAATTTTTAAGGGTTAGATATTAAAAGCATACAAAAACCTGACCATGTCACACCAAAATATTGGCATGGTTCTTCCTCACAATAAAAAAAAAGAAAAGAAAAGAAAAACTTGGTGGAGGAAGTCCATGTTACTTAAAGATTGGAAAGTCATATTACTTAAAGGCTGGGTAATAGGAAAGAAGAGGAGAATAAGCCTCAGAATTATTGGAACAAAAGAGAATTTTAGAAACACTATAACAAATTCAAATGCAAAATTGTATCGAAAAATGTATTGAAAGTAGCCGGTGAGGAGGGATCACTGTGCGAGGTGAGATCACTGTATTCCTAAACTAAGCTAAAATAATGCCAAAGAGATCGCTAAAATAATTTGGGGAGAAGGTATGAAATGGAGTTTATTTTTATGATAGAAGATAATAGTAAAATATCTCCTTGTCAATTTCCATTTAAGTAGATCAGTTTTAGTCAAATTTCAAATATTGTTGTAAAAAAATCCATGATATTTTACATATATGTGTGGAACAGTTATTTAATGCCTTACAAGTGGTCTTTTCATCCCCATACACCTACTAATAGCCTTCTTGCTCCTGATTTCAGGATTTGGAAGCAAAATATACATATTTTGCTTTATATATATATAAATATATATATATATACACATATTCATTCCTCATCCCTATAAAATTCTGTAGCATCTTATTTAACTATTAAACTTTCCATGGAGATACATAAATTGCCACTTCTAAGAATACTCAATCATAAAACAAAAATATGATATAGTATTGTATTCCTTAGCTTTCCTGTTTTTATGTCATCGATTCCTTTGAAGCCTGTGACAGTGATAGTTAAATTGACATACTCATGAAATAGCATTCCTCTATTGTACCACGGATTGGTTCAAGATGATTTCTCAACTCTGACTTTGAAAGATAAACACATAATCAAACGAAGATAATTCTCTCCTGGCTCTTTGTGACCTTGAGTGATTGTCATCTTAACTCATTGTTGCAGAAGGAACAGAAAAAGAGCTGAGACTAATGGCTGGTGAAAACAACTGCAGTGGGAGAGTGGAAGTGAAAATCCAGGAGGAGTGGGGAACAGTGTGCAACCATGGCTGGAGCATAAATGAGGTCTCTGTGATTTGTAGTCAACTGGGATGTCCAACTACCATCAAAGCCACTGGCTGGGTTAATTCCACTGCTGGTTCTGGGCGCATTTGGATGGATCATGTCTCCTGTAGAGGGAATGAGTCAGCTCTTTGGGATTGCAAACATGATGGATGGGGAAAGCATAACTGTACTCACCAACAAGATGCTGGGGTTACCTGCTCAGGTAAGACTCACGTAAATCAAAGAAAACCACAGGGACGTGTTCCTGACTCAGTTCAGATTCTTGGGCTTCCCAATTTTCCTTACTAATTTTTAATGAGATATCAGATTTTTGGTGGGGAAAAAATGTAGATGGCTTAAAAATACGATGAGATGATTTTTTGTAAACAGTCAAGTCCACACATTAACTTACCAAATTCATTACTAGAAGTCCAGAAAATACATGAAAAAAAAAACCCATAATAAGAAAGAAAGAAAAAATTAGAAGGGACTTTGTACACTATGATCAATGAGAAAGTAAATGGCTTTAATTTTACATTCAATAGCCCTACTGTAACCTCCTGTTCCTCCATAAATGTACCAATATATCTCAGTTTATTTATTATTTCCTTTCTATGTTATAAGCTGCTCTAATGCATTGACCAATAAAACATTACACTTTTGTACAAAAACAGTTAATTACCTTAGTGAATCAATAAATATTTCTGGCACTAATATTAATCCTTCCTTCCTGGAGGAAGAATGCTTTGAGAGTACAATTGCTTTTCCAATATGAAAACCAACTCATTTCATTTACATTTTAGTTTTCATTTACAAAACATTTTCATAAGTTTTATCTCGGTTGACTTCACAATAATCCAGAAAATTATGTTTCATGCCTTTGAATGAATGAATCTCATGTTTCTGTCCCAATTCTGATTCTTGGCTCCCACTCCTTGCTTATTTCCTTGACTTCTATGCAGTCCTCACACTTCCCAGTATTCCTTTTAGAGACCATCTCTACTATAGGACTGACTATAGAAAGGACTGACCTCTACCCAGGCATTGGAGTGTCATGGGAGTAACACTGGCCAGTAACTCAAAAAATGCTGGATTACATCCTACTACTATGCATAATTATAATGCACAAAAAAAAAGAAGAAGAAGGAATGTTGGATTAAGTTCTAGCAGTCATTCCTAACGCTATGGTTTCATGGAAGTTTTTAAATCTCTCCAAACTTCAGTTTAAGTTACTGATACAATGTCTGGATGTAATAGGTGCTGTCAATGTTATTTCTTTGTGGTTGCCTGCTTTTCATTACCTTGATCACTCAATTGTTCCTCTCCTCCTTCCCCTTTCTCTTCCCAATTTAACTTTTCTTAGCTATATAGCTAAGACATTAGTGTAGAACTTTTAGCTGTTGTTTTCTGTTTTCAAGTAATGAAGGGTGGAGTTAGTCAAATTTAAGGATGGAGTTAATCAAACTTACTTTTTGAAGTTTATACACCTTAAGCTACAACTGGAGCCTAACAATAGAAAAGAATTTATAGCCATTCTGGGACTCCGGTTTCCTGGGGCTGTAGCATCTGAATTTCTGAGATTCTCAATCCTAATTATTGCTTGATCTTCAGAGTCTCTACATCTTGGAAAATGTTATTCTCACAGGCCCTGAGGTCATATAACACAATAATCAAGAAGATAGACTCTGGTGCTAGATTGCTTTTTTTTCCCCCCTCCATATTTTGACTCTACCCTTTTCTAGGTATTTGACTCTGTCAATTATTCAGTCTCTGATTGCTTATCTGTAAAGTGGGGTTAATGAAAGTAGTCAATATTTAAAGTTGTAAGGACTAAAGAAGTTGATATGTGCTATATAATTAGAACAGAATATGCATATTTTGATCATGAGCCCTTATTACTACTAATTATTATCATTAATTGCCTATAATAAAAATAAACCTTGTTAATTAGAGGTCTTTAGAGTTTTGAGCATTCAAAATTGAATTCCTTTTTCAAGAAAGAGTGTCTGGGAATTTTATTCAACCAACAGTTTTTGTTTATCCAAAATTTCAACCAATATCTCTGATGTCTAGGTATTTTAGTCCTTATAGAAAACCTAAGGGATAGTGTACAGAAAGAAAGTTCCTCATGAAAAAGCTGTTTTTTGCTAAAAATGATATCATATGCTTTGGAGAGAGGTTCATGAAACATAGGAAGTTGGAAACAAATGAATTACTTTGATTCAGTTTCCCTCAATTTTTTAACAATTTGCTGTTCCATAGCATGCTTTTCAACTCTCATGCTTACTTTTGCATTTTCATCTTTGCTTCTTTTTATTTTTTAATTTCAAATTCAACCACAAGTATTTATGCTTTGAGCTGTTAATAGTAATGAAAGGTTAAAATGATTTTAAATGTGCAACAGATTGCTAGTTTGTCATTTTTACTATTTTATTATATGGGTCAATTTTATCTTGTTTGTTTTTTAAAATAAAAATTGAGCTAACCTTATCTATTTCAGTTTGAAAGAATGTTTACTTATCTCCAGAAAATGAAAGGAAACTAAATAAAACAGAAAAATTTAAAACTTTGTGAAGCATTCTTCTCGCTAAGTAGATGTAAATGAAAGTCCCAATTGTTAACTGGATTTTAACAGGTTAAAATTTTCCTACATGTGAAGCTGGGCAGCATCCAAATCAGACACCCTGATGAGAACAGCATCAAATTCCAAGTGTCTGTAGAAACCTTAATTTCTAAAATAATATGAATGGGTATCACGTCTGAACTCTGTTTATTGGTCTAGATGGATCCAATTTGGAAATGAGACTCATGAATGGGGGCAACCGGTGTTCAGGAAGAATAGAGGTCAAGTTCCAAGGACAGTGGGGAACAGTATGTGATGATGGCTTCAACCTCGAACACGCTTCTGTGGTTTGTAAACAACTGGGATGTGGAAGTGCTGTCAGTTTCTCTGGTTCAGCTCATTTTGGAGAAAGTTCTGGACCAATCTGGTTTGATGACCTTGTATGCAATGGAACTGAGTCAGCTCTCTGGAACTGCAGACACCAAGGATGGGGGAAGCATAACTGTGATCATGCTGAGGATGTTGGAGTGATTTGCTTAGGTAAGGGTTGCTCTGGGCTTATCTGGCCTCCAAGAGAGGTCACAAAAAGGGAATAGCAGTCCTAAAAGCCTTGCCCTTGAGAACACAGTGAAGAGGGCTTCCTTTGTCACTTTATTATTGCCTTGCTTTGGGTTCCTGTTCTGATATTTGTGCTTTTTACCCTAACTAAAGTAAATAAAACGGTTGCAGAAATTTTATCTCAGGTCATAAAGAAGGAAAAGAGTGTTTAGAAAAATCAAGAAAGAACAAACCAAAGGTGAGAGGAAAGAAAGAAGGAATAAAAAAAGAAAGGAAGAAAGGAGGAAGGAGGGAGAAGAAAAAGAAAGAGGGAAGGATGGAGAAAGAGAGAAGGAGAGGGAATGTGTAGGGGGCTTAACATGGAAATGTTTTCTCTGAATGGTTTTAAGAGCAACCAGCTTCCTTATCCTCTGTCATCTCCTCTTTGGCCACATCATCTCTCCTTCTCAAGTCATTGATTCAAATTCACAGAATCGAATGATGAAAATAAAAACAAAAAGCCAATACTTCAGTTTCCTATTAAAACCTCATTTATTCTATAGGGCTAGAGTATGAGTAGGCAGTGTATCTGTCTAGAGACTTTTGTGCTCCACACTTAGATCCTGGCACAGGGCAATGGGCTTGTGTGTCTAGGAACACCACACCTCCTTTTTCATTTGAGTTTTTAGTTTGAAAGACAGTATGTTTTGAATGCCAAAGAACACTTAGGAAAACATAATTAGAGTAAAAATATCCCTGTCTCCACCAGTTCATTTCCCACCCCATCCCACCCCGTGCAAAGGAAGAGAATTCAATCCAAACAAATTTTAAAATAAGAGAATACCAGCTCAGAAAAGTAGGAAATCCAGAGGCTATTGTTTCATGCATGGTTGGATTCAGGTGCTCAGACAATATTATCTAGTATAGCCAGAACCCCAAAGAATGGCATTCCTACAGGGAAAAAAATGGATTTTGTTAAGTGTAGAAAATGAAAGGAATTTGGAAAAGAAAAACACAGTATGGGCTTTCTGGTCTCCTTTTCCCCATCAAAATTTTCTCTAGGTATTCAATCTTTTCAAAGTTTTTTGCACATTCTGAGGAATCTTATAAGTAGGATTTTGAAAAACAGTTCATTTTATCACAGAATACTCTTTGGAATCAAGGTATGTTCTTTAATGAATATTGTTTTTAATATTGAAAGGAATAATGGTGAAGCATCTTTCCTCTTTTCTGCCTTTGAATGAAAGAAAATTCTCACAAAGGGACCACTACACAATATAAACCAGGTATACCAGATGGGTAATGCAGTTAGCAACAAAAGGGAATGCTGAGTAGTGAGCAAACTGGAAAATGCAGTTAAAACCTAAATAAATGCAAATGTATTTCAAGAAGAAAAAGTAAATAATTCTGACAAAACCTGGTGGTCAAACAATCTGGTGTCCACATAAATTCCAAGCTCTATACCAACTGTTTGGAATGCTTCTTGAACTATGTGTTCTCTAGACTGAACAGTCTTGTCTTTTAGCTGAACCCACTCTTCTGGCCATCTTTAAGAATTTTCAGGGGTAGCATATCATGATTGTCCCTGTCTTCATTGGTATCTCTTCATCTTTCCTTAAAGAATCCACTAGAGCTGTTCATAGTCATCCTTATTCTTGTTTCCTTACCCCTGACTTCTTGTGTGTCCCTGTTATAGATGGAGCAGATCTAGGCCTGAGACTGGTAGATGGAGTCACTAAATGCTCAGGAAGATTGGAAGTGAAATTTCAAGGAGAATGGGGGACAGTGTGTGATGACAACTGGGATAATAATGACGCTGCTGTAGTGTGTAAGCAACTGGGGTGTCCAACTGCCATCACTGCCACTGGTCGAGTTAATGCCAGTGAGGGATCTGGAAATATTTGGCTTGACAGTGTTTCCTGCCATGGACATGAATCTTCTCTCTGGCAGTGTAGACATCATGAATGGGGAAAGCATTATTGCACTCATAAGGAAGATGCTGGTGTGACATGTTCTGGTAAGTTGAAAAAAGACAAAAAACAATAAGAAAAGCAGAGAGGGAAGGAACTATATTCTTTATGTGTAGAAATAGGTATGAAATATGAGCAGTGAGAATACTTTAATAAATTCCTTGTTGGAAATTTCTTTATAATTGTGAAGAATCTTTTGTCATATTCATATAGAGTGCTGACTCTATTATCTGTAAGATCAGTAAAGGCCACACCACAAATTCTAAATTGACCTGGAGCTCACATAAAATTTTGTAGAACTTCACTTTGCCATTGACAATTTAATAATCCTTGAAACTACAATATGTTTTCTAATCGAATTCATGGTCTATACATATTGTTTCTTAAAATGTCAAGATGTAAGCTCTGTTTTCTAGTGTCTCAGTATCTGGGAAGAAGGAAGATTAAGCATTCTTTGGGGGATAACCTCCACAGGTGTATATAGCCTACATTTATATTTCTTTTGCAGATGGATCAGATCTGGAGCTGAGACTTATAGGTGGAGGTAGCCGCTGTGCTGGGACAGTAGAGGTGGAAATTCAGAAACTGTTAGGGAAGGTGTGTGGTAGACTTTGGACATTGAATGAAGCTAATGTGGTTTGTAGACAGCTGGGATGTGGATCTGCACTTCAAACATCTTTTCAAATGTATTCCAAAATTAAACCAACAAACACATGGCTGTTTGTAAGTAGCTGTAGTGGAAATGAAACTTCTCTTTGGGACTGCAAGAATTGGCAATGGGGTGGACTTCTCTGTGACCACAATGAAGAAGCCCAAATTACCTGCTCAGGTAAGATATTTCTGTTAAGAAATTTAATTCCAAGACTGCATTTGCCCAGTAATATCCTTTAAACTGAGAAGAAATAATGGTCACTATGACTCGATCTCTCTTGAAACTGTAATATATCCATATTTCCTATTCTGAGAGTCTCAGATAAATTTCCAATTCATTTAGCATTTGGAGAGAGGTATTTGTTTTTTGCTCATTATACTTTTGAATAATTTGTTAAAGATGAAGAAAATTAGAAGTTTCAAGATAGAACTTAAATATGTCTTTCATGGAAATGTGACCAAGTGCTTTAAAAAACAACTACTTTGGATAAACTGATATGACTTAACATTAGGATCTCTCTGTTTTAATGTGAAATAATTTTTTTCTTTGTGAAGATTTTGCAGCTCATTTTTTAAAGTACAAAAATGAGCTACTTGTGAGTAGCCTTGGTTTGTGGATAATCTTTAGCACTCTAAGTTAATCATATTTATACAAGTAAGCTTCTTCAACAACTCTAAGGTGATATATTGATATAAATGTAACTTATTTGTGAGAATATATTGGAGAAAACAGTGTGAGAAACTGTTCGGAATGCTTCTTGAACTATGTGCTCTCTAGACTGAACAATCCCTGTCTTCATTGGTGTCTCTTCATCTTTCCTTAAAGAATACAGTAGAGCTGTTCATAGTCATCCTTATTCTTGTTTCCTTACCCCAGTGAGAGAAAACCAGTGAACATGTGCGACTCAGTCACAGGATGTAAACTCTTATGACTTGCATGTTTACTAACCAACCATTTGCCCTAGAACATCTCAACCTGGCTAAGTTCTTCAGGACATTCCTCTGATGCTACAAGTTGTGCTTACCTCTGGTTAGGTAGACATTATCCTCTAATAAAAAAGTCAATCTTTTAAGACAAAAAATTGAATTGTTTTATTACTTATTTTTTTAAATCTTAACTAGGTAATACTTTCACATGGTTTAAGTACAAAATATGAAAGTATAAACTCTTCCCCAACCACTGGCCCCAGGTATCCCATTCTTTTTCTCACAAATTGAGTGGTTCAGATCTTTACATATTATTTCAGAAACATTTTATCTGAATGCAAGAAAATTCAAGCAAATCTATATAAAGATATTATACTCTTTTATTATGTTGACATATCATAGTAAAATTATATTCCCATAGTAAAACATCTTAATCATAATTTTATATCAGTACTTAAAGAGCTTCCTAAAATTACTTCTGTATCTATGACATTTCTCCTCTCATTATTTATTATGTGTACATTCATTTTTGCTTTTGATATTTTTACTTGATAAGATCACATACTAGTTTAGCTTTTGTTTCTAAAAAGAATTAACATTTGGGTGTTTAAGGATTAATAGTACTTTAATTTTTTTCCAATTTATTAAATTTTTTCTATTAATTCATTTCTAACTTACTAAAGGTTTTTTTTTCATTTTTTATCCTTAACTTCTTGATTTGGATGCTCTGTTAATTATAAATCTTTATTAATATCAATATTTTAAGTCCTTGATCCACTTTGAGTTTTATGCATGTTGAGAGATAGGGGCTTAGTTTCATTTTGTTACATAAAGATTTCCAGTTTTCCCAGCATCATTTGTTGAAGAGGCTATATTTTGTCCAATATATGGTTTGGTGCCTTTGTCTAATATAACTGTCTTTATATGAGTTTTTCTCTATGTCCTCTATTCTATACCATTGGTCTACAAGTCCATTTTGGTGCCAATATTATACCGTTTTTGTTACTTTATCTCTATTGTATAGTTTAAGTTTTGGCATATTGATGCCACCTGCTTTACTCTTCTTGCTAAGGATTTCTTTATCTATTTCTGTGTCTCTTATTTTTCCAGATGAATTTCATGACTGCTTTTTCTATTTCCATGAGGAATGTCATTGTGATTTAGCTAAATGGATAGGGAAAATGTGGTATATACACACAATGGAATACTACTCAGCAAAATAAGGAGAATAAAATCATGGCATTTGCAGGTAAATGGACAGAGTTGGAGAATATATTGCTAAGTGAAGTAAGCCATTCTCCCAAAACCAAATGCCAAGTGACTTCTCTGACATAGGATGCTGATTCATAATGGGGGGGGAGCATGGGAGGAATAGACAAACTTTAGATAGGCAAAAGGGGAGGGAAGAAAGGGAATGGGAGTAGGAAAGACTATAGAATGAGACAGACATCTTATCCTAAGTACATGTATGAAAACAGGAATGGTGTGAGTCTACTTTGTGTACAATCAGAAACATGAAAAACTGTGCTCTATTTGTGTAGTATGAATTGAATTGCATTCTGCTGTCATATATAACAAATTAGAATAAATAAAATTTTAAAAATTTTAAAAATCAATAGCTGTCATATTATTGAAGAATTGATGCTGTATTAATATGGAGCAGAGATCTTGTTTGACAGTTCTATAGCCATTTTTAATTATTTTAGTATTATAAAGTTTCCATCTTTTTTGTTCTGAATCAAACTGGTCTAATATTAATATCATGAATACTGCTTTATTTATTTTCTAATATTCTTTTTCAACCTTTAATAAATCATCATGTTATAGATGCATACTTGTATGCCAGATAGAATGAAGATTTATTTATTTGTTGAAGAGGTATGCCAGATAGAATGGATTATTTTTTGAAGTGAAAGACTTATTTAACACATTGTTATGCTGTCATAGCATGACTACATCTATAAGTTATGCTAAAACTAAATACATATTTCACTATATGACATTTTTGAGGGGCTTGGCATTCTGCTGTCATGTGTCTGTTGACACATGTAAGCATACTTTTTTGTTTGATCATTAGTTTGTAGATTTAAAGGTTTTTCCAATTAGTTGTATTTTAAATTAATCAGCATTGAGTTAAACTGCATATAAAAGAAGAGCAAAGAACAACGGCTAAAATAAGTCAAATAGACAAACAATTTAGGGCTTCTTGGTAGCTGTGGCCACCAAGAAATACATGGAATCATTTTTCCGCAATAACTGTAAAATCCTATTCAACAGGAATAATGAGCTCTCCTGCAACTGAGTGAGTTACCTGGTAAGAGTAACTGACAATCCATGTTCTACCCTTGAGAAAATGTCTTCTGTCCACTGTCTTTGATATGTACAGATGCTGTTCTGGGGACAATTCTTCCTGATACATTTTTCTTCACAGTCAGAGTGGAGTCTTGTTGAAGTAAATATGTATCAGTGTTCTGTACATCTTTCAAACCCAGATTCTGCAAAAAGTGGTTTAGAGGCTGATAGATTGCTTAAAAATTGATATCAGCTATTCCTCAAAGACAGCAAAATAGTTCTTTCCAAATTTAGAATATTTCTATAGTCTATTTACTTTAACCTAATGTCATATGAAAGTAACTGTAGTCAAAAAGCATCTTTACATACTTTGATCTATATTGAGACTACCCTTTCCTCTTACTTAATTGAACACTGCCTAAGGTCATTGGAAACTTTGGGTTTCAGAGAAAAGACAAGACCTAATTCCCATTTTTGTTGGGAAAGTCATTGTCTTTATATGTGGAGCATCAACTTTATCATCTGTTAAAGCTGCGTTTTATCACCACCTCAACTGGGTAATAAGAGAGTTAGGGCCTTTTTTCAATCCTGCCAGTTCCAAAGTAAAACATCAAAATGATGAAAATGTGTTATGCTTTTTAAATCATATTGTTTATCTATTACTAAACAAAAGTAGTAATTCTAATGAATTATTTTTTATACTTATTCTTTATTCATTTTCAGAGAAAAAAATAAATATGGATTTAGTTACTTTTTCAGGAGAAAACTTAATTAGTTTATAAAAGTAGCTAAATTTGGACACAAAACTTCACTTACCGGCTTTTACATAAAAATAAATTAAATCATAAATTTGTCAAGAAAAATAAACCCTTAAAGAGCTAAATTTTCAACAGTTATATACAGAATATAGTGACATAAGGCAGCCCACTCAGGCTATGAATGAATATGATTTTGCAGTTTTGTGTAACAAAGAATGGAAATAGAGTCTCTGGCTCACTTTCCGGGTGGAAGAATTTCTCTTCTGACTGGGACTCAAATATTTAGGACAAAAGAAACAAGAAGATATTTATAGAAAGGACTTCTTTTGAAGTGGCATAACAAAATTCATTATAGCAGAAAAAATTTTTGGTTTTGGTTTATTTTTTGGCTTCTTTTAACTGGTTGTGTTTTATTTTTTTTGAAATAGCTCCAGATATGTGAGCCAGAGATTGCAAGAAAGCTGACTTGATTGAATCTAAGACACTGCCTTTACTTAAAGATTTAGGCTGTCCAGATGTGGAACAGGCCCATACGCATACTAGTTAGTGATATCTTAGGAGGTCCATGCTCAAATAATGCTCCAAGTTAAGGACTTTCCAACTCAAAAGTCATTGATGAATAATGGTAATATTTACTCCCATTATTACTTTCATTTAATTTGAGGTTGCTCTAATTTTACATGGGCATCATTAATTGAGTTAAAGTGCAGTAGACTTGTCAGATAATAATACTTTCAATTTTAAATACAAATTATAAGTTTCAGACATCCAAATATATATATACACTAGATATATTTATTAATATATAATTAAAGAGAAAATTATTATGAAAACATTTATTGGCAGTTAAGATATGTCTAGTGAGCAGATGAGAAAATTGAAGACAGAACCATGACTCAAAGAATATATGGAGTGTTTTGATAAGGCACCATCAGAAAGGAAGGGGAAGAACACAGAAGAAAGGAAGGTCACACACACACATGCATAACAGATGTTAAAGAGAAGCCTGATGATGTTCACTTTGAAAACAGAGGTATGGTGAGAAAACTTACATAGAGGTATCAAAAAGGTTGAGGCAGAGCCTGGATTGTGGTGAGTGGAGAAATGAGTACAGGATTAAGAGACAGAGACAGTGGACACAGTTTGTAGGTTCGAATGCTATAAATGATGCAAATGAAATACTAGATGGAAAGAGTAATTGCTTCTGGGGATGACTGACTTTGAAAAGCAATGTTCTAGACTTTTCTTAAGATAGGCTCAATGAGGAACAGGGATTTCTAAGAATTTGCTATTCCCAACTCTAGGCAGAAACTAGGAGGAAGAAATGTAGGAAATCACTGAGCAGTTTGGCCTACCATTCCCATTCTTTATTCCCTTCCTCATCCCATCATAAGAAAAATCTGGAAATCATGTTGTCTCTCACTGAAATGTTATTGTTTTTCAGCCCACAGGGAACCCAGACTGGTTGGAGGAGATGTTCCCTGTTCTGGTCGTGTTGAAGTGAAACATGGTGACACATGGGGCTCTGTCTGTGATTCTGACTTCTCGCTGGAAGCTGCCAGTGTGCTGTGCAGAGAATTAGAGTGTGGCACAGTCGTCTCTATCGTAGGTGGAGCTCATTTTGGAGAAGGAACAGGACAGATCTGGGCTGAAGAATTCCAGTGTGGTGGGCACGAGTCCCATCTATCACTCTGCCCAGTAGTACCCCGCCCAGATGAGACCTGTAGCCACAGTAGAGATGTTGGTGTAGTCTGCTCAAGTGAGACTCAGAGAATATCTTCAATTTCTTTCCATAATGCAAAGGGGGTGGAGTTAAGTGGTCCAGCCATCTTTTCTAAAGCCCTGTGTCCTTCCAGGATATGTAGAAACCCGCTTGGTGGACGGCAAGTCTTCATGTGAGGGAAGAGTGGAGCTCAAGGTGCTTGGAATCTGGGGATCCCTCTGTAACTCTCACTGGGACATCGAAGATGCACATGTCCTATGCCAGCAACTTAAATGTGGAGTTGCCCTCTCCACTCCAGGAGGAGCTCCCTTTGGGAAAGGAAATGGTCAGGTCTGGAGACACATGTTTCACTGCACTGGGACTGAACAGCACATGGGAGATTGCCCTGTAACTGCTCTGGGTACATTGCTGTGTTCTGAAGGGCAAGTAGCCTCAGTAATCTGCTCAGGTAAGAGAATGAAGGGTGACAAATGATTAATCTCTCCCACAGTGGTGGCCCTTTGGACCAGGTGTCTCTATAGAGATGAAGAAGAAGGAAATGGTCCTTGTTGAGAGTCCTGAGATGTGTGTCAGATTATTAAACTCATTTGTTGTTTTACAGGGCAAGTGAACTTAATTTTTGTGAACCTTGTAATATAGTGATTACTTGTGCCAACGCTTTCTCAAAATACCTGATTCACTCCCAACCTGGTGGGCCCATCTATCTTTTTTTCTCTCTCAAGTTGTTTGTACTTGACTCATCTGCATGACACTCCATTTGACCTCCATTCTTTATCCCAACTTTTTGTATCTTATATGACTGAGTAGCTTGGTGTTCGCAGGAAACCAGTCCCAGACCTTGAGCCCATGCAATTCATCATCTTCAGATCCAATGAGCTCTATCATTCCAGAAGAAAGTTCTGCTGCCTGCATAGGTAAGAATCTGTAACCAATCTGTGAGAATGATCTAAATTCTCAAGGATGCACTGTGTTAGTATTTCTCTTTCTTTTTCCAGGGAGTGGTCAACTTCGTCTGGTAAATGGAGGGGGTCGCTGTGCTGGGAGAATAGAGATCTATCATGAGGGCTCCTGGGGCACCATTTGTGATGACAGCTGGGACCTGAGTGATGCCCACGTGGTGTGCAGACAGCTGGACTGTGGAGTGGCCATTAATGCTACTGGATCTGCTCATTTTGGTGAAGGAACAGGACCTATCTTGCTGGATGAGGTTAACTGCAATGGAAAAGAATCCCATGTCTGGCAGTGCCATTCACATGGCTGGGGGCGGCACAATTGCAGGCATAAGGAAGATGCAGGAGTCATCTGCTCAGGTAAGTTCTGCGAATAACCCCTGGTCACAATTACATTTTTAAAAAGACTGAGGTGGAGCAAGGGATAGTGAAGGAAATTAATCTGAAAGATTTCCCCGAAAAGCATATTTGAAAGAAATTATTGCCAGAGTTAAGATTCTAGAAGTAAGAGTTTGAGAAGTTATAGAGTTATGTCATGTGCAAGGTAGTCCAATATTATAAAGAGAAAAATTCAAATACAGGCTTGTATATCATGAAAATGTTAATAGTAATGTTCTTTTATAAACATATAGAATGTGATATTGAATAGGGATTCAATGGCATCACTTGGTAACTATAATATTAATAAAGAAGATTAATAGAAACAAAAACATATTCCATGATCATTCTACAGATAAAAAGATAATCACCATTCCCAAGTAATTGTTAAAAGCAGATAAGTGAGGTTTATTTGTCATGGGACCAAAATTTATCATAAGAGACTACTGCTCTTGCTTTGTATATGCAGTGAATTTTAGAAGCTGCTGTGACATAGAAAAATATCTTCAGTTGCAATATGTTGGTGAAAAACAGTACTGTGACTCAGTAACTTAGGACAGTGAAAAATTCTGTATACCAGGAGTGATTCCTATTGAATATCATAAATCTGGTAGAGTACATGTTCAACAAAACTGTAAAGTGGCAAAAAGGAAATAATTCATTCTAAGATAATGTACACAAAATACTGGTTTTTGTATCTCACTAAATTTTTACCAAAGACACTTGCCAAAAAAAGCAACCCAGAAACAGATGATAAGTAATTGAGGTGATGGACATGCTAAATGTGTGGATTTGGTCATAAACATAATATAAACTTTTTAAAAATAGTTTTTTAGTTGTAGATAGACACAATATCTTTATTTTGTTTATTTTTTTTATGTGGTGCTGAGGATCAAACCCAATGCTTCAGGCATGCGAGACCAGTTCTCAACCACTGAGCTACAATGCCAGCCCCACAGTATAAACCCGTTTTGAAACATCACACTGGACCTGAAAATATGGGAAATTTTTATTTTGGCAGTTAAAAACAGCCAAGAGCAGAATAATATTCTTGGGGGTAAAATTATACTAACTTTGGAAGAAAACCCAAATTATGTAAATAAAGAAAAGTTCTACGGTTTTGATTGAATTTGACAGCATTCTAGAGAGATTCCTGAATACAAACCCCAAGACTAGAAAGTCAAAAATTATATACAGAATAAGTACCATATTTTACTAGGCTCTACTAAGTCATCCATAAGTTCCTAAAGAATTATAGTAATTAACAAATTATACTTATTTAAAAAACTATTTTAAACTATTGTCACATCAGAGTAAAAGGGGTTCCTAATTATTCAGAGAAGATGTAAAACTAATTCTCTATTTAATCCTAGAGTTCATGTCTCTGAGACTAAACAGTGAAACCAGTGGAGAGACCTGTGCAGGACGTCTGGAAGTTTTTTACAATGGAACCTGGGGCAGTGTTGGCAGGAGTGACATGTCTGCAACGACCGTGGGAGTAGTATGCAGACAGCTGGGCTGTGCAGAGAAGGGAAACATCAACCCTGCATCTTTAGACAAGACACCATCCAGACTCATGTGGGTGGACCACGTTCAGTGCCCAAAAGGACCTGACACACTATGGCAGTGTCCATCATCTCCATGGAAGCAGAGACTGGGCAGCCCCTCAGAGGAGGCTTGGATCACATGTGACAGTGAGTGTCCATTGGTCAATATGAAATTTCCATTTTGCAGCTCTACTGTCACATCTGAGAAAGCATCTAGCCTTTATTTTCCTATTCCCACACTAGTTTAACTTGTTAGATCTCATTAAGCAGGAATGGGTAACCTCATATTAATACCTATCCTCTTGGCATGGTAAAATTTATTTAATTTGGTATATATGTATGTGTGTGTGCGCGCGTGTGTGTGTATTCAGGATCAGTGATCATTAATACAAATATCACATTCTTCATATTCTGCTTAAAACTTTTATTCAAATAATTTTTCAAAATGAATGAGGAGCAGAGAATATGTAATTCAGTATTAGTTTACTTTGACGTTCCCATTTATATTTCAAATATTACCTTGCTACAGTGAATTAAGGGAAAAAAGAGTCCAGAAAGATCTATCCTAAAGTGTTTTCCTATTCTATATCTTCCTAAATTGTGAGAAGATTCCTGATATCTGGCAATTTTCCAGACTCTTTTCGGTTTGAAAAAAACATAACATTCTACATTCATAGTATTAACTTTATTCATTCAACATTTCCTGAGTCACACTATGATTTTTATGTATGGGATGAAATATACCCAGTTTGCAGAAGGGACATATACTTTCATAAAATATATATTTGGTAAAAAATATAAATTCCTAAGATGCACATTAAATAAATTATTTTTAAATAGGTTTTAAAAACAATTTCACATCTCTTCTCTTCTTCTGTAACCTTTCAGAAGCTTTTATCTCCCAGAAATAATCAAGATATATTTTTAATCTACATTTTCAGACAAGATAAGACTTCAGGAAGGTCACACCAGTTGTTCTGGTCGAGTGGAAGTCTGGCACGGAGGTTCCTGGGGGACAGTGTGTGATGACTCCTGGGATCTTAATGATGCTCAAGTGGTGTGTCAACAGTTAGGCTGTGGAAAAGCCGAGAAGGCACTAAAGGAAGCAGCATTTGGTCAGGGGACTGGGCCCATATGGCTCAACCAAGTGAAGTGTAGAGGGAATGAAACTTCCTTATGGGACTGTCCTGCCGGACCATGGGGGCACACTGACTGCGGGCACAAGGAAGATGCTGCTGTACAGTGCCAACCAGGTGAGTGTCAAGAGCCTGGATAAGTGGGACTCTGTCAGCAAAGGGGATGTGCAGTGGGCTGTGTTCTCTAAAGATCAGAGGTAACAAGGATCCTGTGGAGGAAAAGTCATTAGTTTTTCTTCTGAAGGAATGGTGAAAACATTTGTTCTGGCCTTCTCTGAAGACAAGTATACAACTCATATGTTCCTGCCAGAGGGAAGAAAGACTAGGGGACTCTATTCTTAGGTGGGAAAGACTAGTTTACTAGATTTAGACAAAAACAGATATATTTTCTCTAAACATTACTCCCAGAATTAAGTCTCTTTATCTTCTCTCCCACAGGAACATCTTTAAGATCAGCAAATGCCACAGGTATGGCTTGGGGTTTTTGAGCATGGGACTGATTGACAGCATTACTTAGAAGCCTTCTTGTTCAGAAACTTTGGGTGAGGAGGAGTTCTGAGGACATGGGATTAACTTAAGAGATCCTGACCCTTTGGTACCTGACCAAAGACAGTTGGTTGCTTGAACTTAGATCTTTCGGCTAATATATTGTCTCTCGTTATTTACTTTTGCTTAGGTCACTCATCCCTTATTGCATTGCTGATCCTCGGGATCATTTTATTGGCCAGTCTCATCACATTCCTCGTGTTTACTCTGAGGAGAAGACAGATCCGGCTATTTACAGGTCTGAACCAAATTATGGTCTCTCTAAAGTGTCTACACGATAAAGGGGTTCTTGGGATATAAATAAATAACGACAACAAAAAATTAGACCCAAATGTCACACGTACAGAAAGCAGGATCCTAGAAGAGTTTGAACAGTTTCTCAGATTAGAGGGAATACAATCTCACAGGAGAAAAGGGGCTTTGGTTACATTGGATTTTATGCAATTGTAAGGAGAATGAGTCTGTCGTTATGGTTCATGATATCCTTATTACAAAATTGTACTGTTCTGCCAAGCAATGTGGTAGCTCTGAAGATGCAGACATTTTGTTTTTGTCTTTGGGAGCTTCAAGTTTAGTAGAAGAGTTACGTATGTAAACCAATTGTCATGTAGCATTGTAAATTAATATAAATAAGGAACCTTAGTGGCACAGAAAAGAGAGTAATTTACTGAAAGGGGAAAGAAGTACCGAGGTCTTTTAGGAAGCTTTTGAGACAAATTTTGAAGATAGGAGTTCAAAGAACTGAATGAGGAATGTTATAGGAAAAGAAAAGGATATGTAGAAGTGTAGAGAAGTGTAAAGGTTGGCATATTTTCTGTTTTGGAAGAAAAATTGAGAGAAAGAAGCAAAATTGCTGGTGAGGCTTAAGAAGATAGAAGGAACAAATTGTGAAATTTTTCACTCCACTGGAAAAATGATTCGTAATCATTAAAGTAACATGAAGGGAAGTAAAATTATCAAGTTGTCTTACAGAAAGATCTTTTGGCAACAGGATATATATGAAGGATTGAAGGAGGATTACACTATGGACAAGAATAGCATTTTGAAATAGATGAGATAAAATTAAAAGGACTTTACAGTGAGAAGAGGGAAGAGGAAATATTTTTAGAGAGATCTGGAAAGACCTCTAGTGAATTTTGGAAATAAACTCTCTTTCCTCTGGGGGTGGGAGTCGGGTGACAATAAAGACAATTTAGCTTATGAATGTGAGACATTCCAAGGAAAAATCTTGGAAACAATAGCATAGATAAAGTTAGGTATGTTTGCACTGCTGTAAGGCAGCTAACACAAAGGAAAAGACATTTTATTGTGATCTGCTGATCCATAACCCAGAATTCTTATTATTAGTTTCCACAAGAGGAGAGAATTTTGTCCACCAAGTGCAATACCAGGAGATGAATTCTAGCCTAGAGGCAGATGATCTGGACCAGCTTCATCCTTCAGGTCAGTGGATTCCTTGTAGGTCTGTAGATTGGAGGCTCAGACTGGTGGCTTCAACTGAAGCTGAGCATTCTACTTTGATTAATAGTAAAAAGATAAAAAAACAATCTGTAATAGAAAGTTATGATACATACAAGAGAAAGAAAGGAAGCAATAATCTGAAAACTATTGTTAAGAACATAAAAAATTGCAGGGATGTGGAGGCCTCTAGTATAAAAAGCCTATGATTATTTCTCAGAGAGGTACAAAGAGCTTGGACCTCATTTTATAAAAATAAAGAATGATGAGACTTGTACCTCATTTTATAAAAATAGAAATGAATCATCTCAAAGACTGTCATATGAGAATTTAAATTTTTTTCCTTTTAAATTTTTTTGTATATATTTAAGGTTTAAACATGATGTTATAGGATTAGCATCTAGTTCGTAAAAAGGTTACTGATGTAAAGCAAATTAACTATCCTTCATCTCACATGGTTTTTTGTGGTAGCTCAACTCTACTAATTTGATAGGAATCCTAAGCACAGCCCAGTGTTATTACTTTAGAGCTCATGATGTGCATTAGATCTCTAGATTTGTTCTAAAAGTCTAAAAAGTTCTAAAAATTTCTGCGTCTTTATTCAATGAGAAGTCTTCAGTAACACAGGATAGCCTTAGTTCTCATTTCATAGCTCTTTTCTCTTTGTGCTCCAACTTCTATTTAGTGCCAGTGCAGTACTGCCTCAGGGCACATAACAGTACTGAGTTGAAAAAATATACCAGTACCCATTGTCTTTACTTCATGAAAGCCCCCATGTTTTTACAGGAGTCTGCCATACTTCTTTAACCCAAAGCGTGTGGTATTTGCTTCTTCTATATCAAGAGATGCACTTAAGCCTAGAAAAGAGTTTCTGTGCCCCTTTAATCACAATTACCTGCCTTCCTAATTGTGGACAGCAGTTTTAAACCACTCAAAGAGCTTCTCAGACACTTAGGGTAGTCTGGTATATTTCTCAGTAATTATTTTCTTCCTTCCAGAAAATTCCAATAAATTACATGGTTTTAATGCTGGTGGACTAATTTCTGTGTCTAAATATTTTTCTATTTCTGGAATTAAAAAGGGGGCCATTCTGAGGCAGACTGAAAACTGGGAATTTTTAACTCAATGAGGTGAGTGGGAAGCACTTACTCATCATTGTTAAAAATCAATATTCTGTTTAAAGACAGAGTTCTTCTGACATTAGAATTTATATACATGTTTCCATTTTGCATATATGTATATGTTTGTAAATATACATCCATATTTAGAATATATGACAACTTTTTATAAATATGACTCAGCCATTTCTAAATTACATATATGCACTTGGCAATAACAATGGTACATTCAAGAAGCTAAGGAGAAATTAGTGAATAACTATGAATAAATATTTGGAACATTTTACAGAGATCATATCAGAAAAAAATTAAAGTGTATCAGACATCTGAATTCGTATAATGCTTGCTACAGTAAAGATTATATAAGATACTATAGGGATAAAGATAATTTCAAACAAGGCTACTGGAAGTAACAGGTAAAGCAGTCTTTGGAGAAAATAATCTGGTACTGTCTATTTAAATGACGATGATAATGATAATAATAATTATAATTAATAATAGTAAAAAGCTTCACAGATCCTTTGACCCAACCATTCTATCCCTGAGAACTTTTTCATACAAATAAAATCACTGCTGTGAAAGGACATAACATCCAAATCTTATCTACAATGTTGTTATAAATGTAAAAAAAAAAAAGGTGGAAACAAATTAAATGCCAGTTGCTGAGAAAAAAATATGCTTTAGCCTCCTAAAAAAGGAAAATATCACCTTTTAACATGTAAAATGATTTCACTTATGTGATCATGTTATATTGACTATAATTAAATTCCTACATCTACAAAATTATGCATATGCAGATAATACATTGCAGAAGCATTTAAAATCCTAACAGCATTATAAACTGAGGATTATGAATAACTCAAACAATTTGTGACATAAATAATTATTAAAATACTTTTCCATTAAAGAATATTCACTGTTTCCTGGTTGCTTCAGAATCAAAAGGAGATTATTTTTAAAAGGGTATTTTAATGGTGTTTATTTTATTCCAGTGTAGTTCTATGGCATAAAAGTGTTTTTTATGTATACTAAGGTTTGAAAATAGTTGCATTTAATATTTCTGTTCAGGAAAGGTAGGACACTTTTTTATATAAGTGAGTGTGTGTGTGTTTTAATGTATTCGCCTATGCATATAAAGAGGGAAGTAACATTTTTTTTTTTCCATTTAAGGCTTCAGTTCAGCACTTAAGATACCTTGAGGAAGACATGGCTATTGAATGGAACAAGAATCCACCTCATTCACTGATGATGGCCATTGCATTTCTATAGAGTCCTTTGTCTCCTGCCGCAGTCTGGATGGGCACAAAATCACCGAGCCACCACAAAGCTTTGTAGATTCAAACAGCAACTCTTTATTCCCGAACTCTCACTGACACTCTACCCACACTTCCCATGAACACCCTGCCTTCACCCCAGAACTCAATGGGAACTCAAAAGGAGCCACGTCTGAGGCAACAGGATACGCCCTAATCCCAGCAGGATCCACCCTAAGCCTGGAGCCACCCTATTCCCTGAGCAGGGTCACCTTTCAACCCCAAATGCCATGTCATTCCTACTTGGCTATGGCTCTCAGCAGTCTCCTAATGTTCCAAAGACTGCTACTGAATTTACAAAAATTAAGCTTGTGAATTTGAGAACTTTATAGTGTTTGTAAGGCTTTCAAATATATTAAATTAAAAAGAAAATTACTGATTTAAGTTTGTCTTAACTTAATTTTTAACTTTGTAAATATCTGATTGTTTTCTGAAGTTTTTAGGATTTTATAAATATGTCTTCTTATTTGATGTCTTAATTTGCATATTTCAAATTTGATTTACATAATGATTTTATTAAATCCAAACTGAAGTAAGTTCATTTTTGTTTTAGCTTTCTTTTTTTTTTCTCTAAGAAAGGGCAAGTAAATGATATTGAACAATCTGTTACTACATGATTCACACTATAAGGAATGATTTTCATTTTTTTTAAACTATTTCACTGACATAAAATTCACAGCCACAATTGGTAAGTGTAAAATATTCAGCAGTTTAGCTCCTTGTTCCTCAGGAAAGTATTACTAAAGCTAAAATATGCATAAATAATGTCTTTCTGCATAAGTATAACTATTATGAAGTAAGTTAATATATTATTAAAATTCTTCTAATCACAATAAATATTAAAGAGAATATATTTTTATTTTAATTGAACACTAAGCTTATAGTCTACATACTTGTAGAATATATCTATATGCAATTGATTTCTTAAAATTATTTTTTTAAATAACATACATATTTATGATGTAAAATATGATATTTTGAAATACATATATATTGTGGAATGGTTAGATCAAGATAATATGCATTACCTTACATATGGTTTTTGTGGTGAGAACATTTAAAACCTCCTTTTCTTTGTGATTTTCTAAACTAAAATATATCATTGCTAACTGTGGTCACAACATCACACAAAAGATCTCTGAACTTATTTCTCCTGTTTGACAGGAATTTTGTACCTTTGAACAATATCTCCCCAAAACTTCGTTCAACTCTTGGTAATCACCATTCTATTCTATGAGTTCAACATTTTTACATGCTACATATAAGTGAGATTGTGTATTATGTGTCTTTCTGTACCAGACATTTCATTTAAAATAATATCTCTATGATCAACCACATTGTTGCAAGTGACAGGATTTCCTTTTGAAAGACTAAATAGTATTCCATTGTGTATATATATCACATTGTCTTTATCCAGTCATCTGATGATGGGCACTCAGATTATATCCATATTTAAGCTATTGTGAATAATATAATGAACATGGGTGTGTATGTATCTCTTAGACACAATGATTTCAATTTCATTGAATATATACTAAGAAGTGGGATTGTGAAATTATATGATAATTCTATATTTAGTTTTCTGAGGAATTGCCATAAATTTTTCCATAATGACTATTCTAATTTACATTCTTCAGAACAATGAATAAAGGTTTCCTTTCTCCACACCTTCGCTAGAGAGTTGTGTCTTCACTTTACAGTTTCCTTGGCTCTGTACAAGCTTTTTAGCTTGATAGAACACCATTTGTTTATTTTTTATTTTCTTGCCTGTGCTTTGAGGTCACGTTTAAGAAATTTTTGCCTATACCAATGGCATGAAACATTTATACTGTTTTCTATTGATTTTGTGGTTTTAAAATCTTACATTTAAGTGTTTGTTGCAGTTTGTGTTGTGGTAAGAGTTTGATTCCACTCTTCTGCTTGTGAGTATCCAGTTTTGCCAAATTATTTATTGAAGAGCCTTTCATTTCTCCATTGTGTGCTTAGTAACTTAGTCAACAATCAATTGACCATAAATATATGGGTTTATTTCTGAATTCTCCATACTGTTTCATTGGTCAGTACATTGTCTGGTTTTGTATACAACACAAAACTGGCACTATGATAGCTTGATTAGCTTCATAAGAGATTTTAAAGTGTGGTAGTATGATGTCTCCATAGTTGTTCTGTACTCAAGATTGCTTTAGCTATTTGAGGTATTTTGTCTTTCCATATACATTTTAGGATTGTTTTTTCTATTTCCATGAAAAATGATATTGGAACTTTTGTAGAGATTGCACTGAATCTGTAGACTGCTCTGAGTAGTTTGGACATTTAAACAATTCACTCTTCTAGTCCATGAACATGGAAATTTCATCACTGTTTTTTGTTTACAAGTGCAGATCTTTTATCTCCTTGGTTAAATTTACTCCCACAGAATATTTTATGCTATTGTGAATGGAGTTGATTTTCTAATTTCTTTTTTCTGATAGTCTTTCCTGTACCTGGATATATTATTTCCCAGATTTGCAAATTTTTCTATTTATTTAAATACATTTTCTGGACTTTTATTTCTCTCTTACACTTGAAATCCTATAATTTGGATATTTTCTTTATTTTTTTCCATGAGTTCTATAAACTTTATTCTTTCCTTTTTATTTTATCTTCTTTTGTCTGACCATGTGATTTTTAAACAACCTATGGTTGAATTCACAGATTTTTTCTTCTGATTCATCAGTTCTGCAACTGACATTCTTTTGTGTTTTTAATTGAATTCATTGTATTTTTTAGCCCCTGATTTTCTGTTTACAATTCTAAAATCAAAATTAAAATTAATCATTTTATTAAATTTTTGGTTTGGGGGGCTGTGGTTGTAGCTCAGTGGTAGAGCACTCGCATCACGTGCGTGGGGCATTGAGTTTGATCCTCAGCACCACATAAAGCAAAATAGTCCACCTACAACTAAAAAATAAATATTTTAAAAATAAATAAATAAGTAAATAAATTTTTGGTTTTGGTCTTTTATTTTCTTCTTGATCTTATTGAAATGTTTTTCTATATTTTAAGTTCACTGAGCTTCCTTAAAACAATTACTTTGAATTACTTGTTAGGCAGTTCATAAATTTTCTTTACTTTATGTTGATCACTGGTGTTTACTTTTTCCCCTTTGCTTACGTTTCCCTGATTATTCTTGACCCTTGTGTCTAGGTGTTGGCATCTACACTTTTGAAGAAGCAGGGACTTATTAAGTGTTCACAAACTAGTTTTGTTAGGGAATTTCTTTCTCCACTCAACCCATCAAGAGATTTTGGGCAGGCTATCTGGCATGATCCATGGGAATGATCTTTTTTGGAGTTTTGAAACAAGTTAGCCTGGTGCCTGGGTTCACAGTATTTGGTCTAGATCCTGGATCCACTGGTGTATATCTTGTTTTTTAATATTTATTTTTTAGTTGTAGTTGGACATAATACCTTTATTTTATTTATTTATTTTTATGTGGTACTGAGGATTGAACCCAGGGTCATGCACGTGCTAGGTAAGCACTCTACCACTGAGCCACAATCTCAGCCCTGGTGTGTAACAGGTCTGGAGCCTGGAACTGAATTGATTCTGGAGTGGGTCTGGAGTCTGGGATTACAAAGACTTGCCTGGCACAGAGCAGACTTTGAGACTGAATCTGCAGGGAGTCTGAATTCATGGGTGCCAACTTGATGGCTAGGGCTACAGGGGAAGGATTTCAGTCCATCTATGGGAATTGGCCTGCCATTGGTGGAGACCCAATGTCTAGGGTCTTTAGGTCCATCTTGGCTCTGGGCCAGTCCAAAGCCTGGGGCCACCAGGATTATTAACATGATTGTATGGTAGGCCAAAGAGACCCAGTCTTTAAGAAGGCCTAGAGCTTGATCCACATGATCATTCCTGGTACTGCTATGGTTCTTGACACTGGGATCATAGGGAAATTTGAGTATTAATATGGCCTTGCAGTCTTAGGCCATGGAATATTTTGAATTTTATTAGGGCAAATCTGATGTTGAAATCTATGACTGGGTTGTGGGAAAGATGATGTGAGTAGTGTAAAACTGTCCTTCCTATATTCTTGAATGCATTATTTCCTTATTTTGTAGTCTACTCAGGTGTTATAATCTCATACCTTCTCCTCAGTTCTCATGAACGTATTTTCATGCATGGATAGGTATTTAAATTTGATGTTTTGGTTGGGATATGAGTTCTGGAAAATTCTATTTCACCATCTTGATGATGTTTGAAACAAATGTGAAAGTTAATTTTAATCTTTTCTCAGTGTTCTGATATTGCATGCATGCTTTTTTAGCATTTAGGGCTTAAAAAGCAATCATCTTATAAAAATAAGCCTTTTGACTAACTTCCCATTACTTTTTAATCTCTTGCCAATTTCAAAAATATCTGATATGAATTAGTTAAATAAGTTAATTAATTTTCTTTTATTTAATAAAATTTATTTAGTGTCTATTATTTGTCATGTATTATGTATTAAATACCCAATTTTATTCCATGTGCTACTCACCCAATTACATTGCAGTATTAAGTATATTAAGGTGTATATGTGTAAATATGAACATTATATAATATCCCATGAGTCACATTTTAGATTGAGTAAACTGAAACACAGAAAGGTTAAATGATTTGTCTCAAAGCATACAGCTAGTAGATAACATAACTGTAATCTGAACCCAGGTATTCTCACTCTAGAGACCATATTCTTCATCATCATATTATACACTCCTTCAAAATGAATACAGTTTATATGGGGAAAAGACATTACTAAATTTCTTTGCCTTATAGCGACTTCAGTGTAAATGAGTGATACTGTTACTCTTTGTAGAGAAACTTTGATGAAACAAGGTCAAAACTAGAAAACTTTTTATCCAAAGACAGATAAGGACTGTGTCAGTCATATTTAGTTACTACAACTAACACTTAAGACAAACCAATTTAAAAAGAGTAAAGACTAGATTTGATTTGTTTTTAACTTTTACTGTTACATCATAGTTACACAAAATAGAGTTTCATTGTGGCATATTCCCATAACATAATTTGATTTTATTCTTCAGTACTTCCCTTTGCCTACCCTTTTCCCTCCCTCCCTCCTCCTGATCACCTTCCTTCATTCTGGTCTCCCTTCTATTTTCCTGATCTCTCTCTGTTTCTCTCTCTCCCCCATCCCACCTCTCTCCCACATATGAGGAAAAATCACATGACTCTTAATGTAATATCTCTCTCTCTCTCTCTCCACACACACACACACACACACACACACACACACACACAC